CGGGCAGACCCTGAAGATTGCACGGCCGTGCACCCTGGCCGTGCGAGAAGCCTGAGGTCGAACTAATTGATACGCCGCGTTTTGGAGTGCACGGCCAAGTGGGTGGTATGCACGGCCGTGCACCCTGGCCATGCGAGTCGGGAAAGCCTGGTTTTAGAGCCTATTCCGAGCCAAAAGGGGGAGAATCGTGTTTTCAGAGCAAAAACAGAGCCCTAGAGAGAGAAAGTACGAAGAACACACCCTAGAAGCTGTCTTAGAGCTGGATTTCATCGAATCGAGCTTGGAGATCGTCATAGGAGTGGAAATCATCGTCCCGGAGCAGATTATCCTCATCGTTATGAGTATGACTAATCCGATTCTTGTTTTCTCTTCTCTCTCTATGGAGTAGAACCCTTCTCTCACTTGGGTATGAAGAACCCTAGTTCCTTGTGTTAGGGATTCGATTGTAATGACTTGGGATGATATTACTGTTTGATTTTAATCGAATGACGCATGTTTATTGAATTGATTTGAGTCTGATCAGCTTTTCTCAATTTCTGCTGCAACCTGAGATAGATAAAATCTGATTAGGTTGTTAGAGCCTCTTCATTCGATAGTAGGAGATTGGCTATACAAGAGTTAGCCAGTTTACTGCTTTGTACTGGTGTTTTTGGCGCCAGTAGTGGAGTTCTGTGTTCATAAGCCTCAGCTTTCTATCCCGGTGAAGACTAGTCGTCTGCCGGGTAGTTAGACTGAGAGGGCTTGGTCAGCTTAAGAGATTCCAAGCTACTGTTGGATCTTCCGCAGTCTAATCAACAGTAAATCAACCCAGGGAATTGCAATTGAACCTAACTAAGGGGCTAGGGGGACTCAATCCCGAGTGACTCTTGCCTGCTTTAGAAAACCGAACAATTTACTGCTTTCTTGTTGCTTTTACTTTTCACAACAATCACTCGAACTAGTTTGCTAGATAATAGAGAATCACGGAGTAAGCAGTAGATCTAGACCCCGGGTTGATAATTGAACTTGCCTGTTACTGCATTCCCGGACTGCGATTACACTTGGTCGCAGTTTGGTGTTGTGTTTTGGCGTGTCACTCTCCTTGGTTCCCTTCTCTCTAGATCTCGAATTCGACGATGGAGGCTGAGCACAATGTTTCGCATATGCTCATCAAGGGCTGGTTCATACCATCTGAAATAATTGCATGCTCCATTCGTCTACAGAAAGCACAATGAGGGGAATGGTCAGAACCTAAACCCAAACAGAAGGTACATAAAGCACGAAAGGAAGTGAGATTGAAATGGTCTTACCCCAAACTTGCCACATCCATAGAACCTCCGCCCTGGATTTGCATCGGTCCAACTTGTCCTCAAACTTGTTGGATTCCCACAGTGACAATATGGGTTAGTCATGGTTTAGATCGGTAACATCCAGAGATCACAAGTTGTTGCAGAGGAGAAGGAAGAAGATGGAGAAGGAAGAATAAGGAAAGTGGAAGAACAAGGAAGATGGAGAAGATGAAGGACGATGAAGAGCAGAAGAGGCTCGGAGTTGTCTGGAATTTGGATGGATGAGAAAGAAAAAAAAAATGAGGTGAGAAGGGTTTTAATAGTGGGTAAGAGTTTTTTTCCCTCCCAAAAAGGTAAAAAGTATTTGAAAATGGGGGAAAAGGGTTATTTTTCCCTCCCATTCCACTTCAGCACCCTAGTGCCGTCTTTTTTAGCCTCTCTGTCAGCCCAGTCAGCACTTCCGTTTGCCACGTCATCAAAAATCTGACGGCGTTAACGGAGTCTGACGGAGACTGACGGAGGGTGACCAACGGTGAAACGTTTCGTAAAGTGAGTGGTTAGATTGAAAGAAAATTAATTTGGATGGTAAACGTGAAATGTTTATATAATTCGAGTGACCAAATGTTTAATTTTCTTATTTTTACTATTTTTAAATTGCCACGTCACATATTTAATGGTCAACTTTTAGAGTTGACCGCCACGTAAGCAAAAGTTAACGGAGTTGGACGGAGAGTGACCAAACGTGAACGGTTTTAATAAACTGAAGTACCACCAATGGATTTAAATATTTTGAGTGACCAAACTTGAACGTTTTTTGTAATCTCAGTGACCAACCATGCAATTAACCCCTACTGTGTTTATAAAATGTTTTACATTTGTCACTAACAAATTATAATTGCAATAATGGTTAGTCATTCCTATCGTCTAAAATCTTTGCTCTTCAGTGTCTTGCCTTGTTGGCTCAAATAAACAAGCCTTTTTCTATTGAAGCGAAGGTCGTTAACTAAATTTTATCTCATCATTAGAAACAAGCTGTTTAAATTTGGTAACTTCAATCTACATGATAGTCAACCCCTATAGTTGACTGTTTAAATTAATTTTGTCAAATAAAAAATAATTAAAAATGAATTAAAATTTTAGTGAACCACTTTCCAACGACAATCAAATTTGGACGAAACAATTCTGTTGGAGTAATTTCAAATTGACTCATTTTGAGGCAATTACAATTGTCTAGAGTGAGGTAGACAATTCGAATTGACTCGTTTTAAACGACTAATTTTATAAAATGAGATAGTTGACCAAATTGTATAGTTTTGCATTTGATCCATTCATTCGGATTATAGTGATTTGAAATTTTTGTATGACAAAATGACTCGTACAACAGATAAGGTCAATCAATCAAATCTTAGGTGTCGTTTGCTTTGTGGATTTGAAAAATGAAGATTTTTATATAACTTGGGTGTTGAAAAACAATGGATATATGAGGAATTTTGGTTCATTATTGTTTTGATAACACCACTGTTTGTTTGATGGATTATCTTATGAATTTTGGTAATTAAATTTGTACGTATGAAGTGCAATTTACCTATATTGCTCTGAATGATATAAGAAGAGAGAAAATATGAGGGGTAGGTTAGGAAAAAATGATAGACTTCAAAATCTATGATCAATTCCCACTTAAAATGATGAGATATTCAAATCCGCGGGGCCCACAGATTAGTTACCTGAAGTAAACAATGGATTTTGAACAATTTCCATAACGATTTGAACAGCCTAGTTATTCTGCTAACTTGAAGATTCGTTAGTATATACTAACTAATATTCAAAATGTATGAACCAATATTCAAGTCTGCTAAGTATCTAGATAGCTCATAGCACAGACTAGTATTCAAAACATCATAAACTAGTATCCAGATAGCAGATATCAACTAATATCCACAATCAACCAATATTCAATATGGATACTCTTATGGGTTATCTGGATACTCTTATGTGTTATCTGGATATTAATTATGTGTTGTTTGGATATTATTCTGTGTTGTCTAGATATAGTTCGTGAATTTGGAATAATAGTTGATTCATGGTGGATATCAGTTAGCAAACTTTGAATACTAGTCTGTGCTCTCTAGATACTTTAGTACTAAGATATTAGTTCATGTATTTTGTATATCAGTTAGTAACTGCTAACGAATCTTCAAATTAGAAGATTAACTCTCCCCGATTTGAATGAATGTATTCAGATCTCTATTTTTTTTTTGTCGTCCCCATATATTATATTGGAATCTACAAATACCTATAAGCCAATGTCAATAAATGGCTTTTGCCACCTCAGCCTTTGCAACGCAGACCGCATATTGGGGAGGGTTATATTTGTATATTTTCTCTTTGGCTCTTCCCAGTAACTGCCGCTCTTTTTTTTTTCCCTTTCCTTTTTCTTATATTATTGTAAACTTACAATCCAATAAATTACCTACTCACCAACTCTAACTTTTTCCCCGTCTTTTTACAAGCCCACAAGCACAAGGTCCACAACCCCTAGGGCCTAGGCGAGTCATTAAGGTTTAAAACACCAAACTTTATTTATTTGGGCATATCAACAGATTTGCAACATTTTTATTTTTTTCCGTACAAATATATCATATTAGTTATTTCATCACATGATTTAGTTCAAAATAAGTATAGATTGCAATTTTGACCTCATCTATTTTACGGGACGTGTTTGATATGTGTTAGGTTGGGGCGGGCATGAGTATTCTACTTGATCTAACTCAGCTAATTCTCGACATGTTTTATCTAAATTGTATGCAATTTTTCGCAAATTACTTCGAATTTTACTTTTATTACTTTGTATTTTAGCTATAACAAAACGGTGGATATGTAAGAATCTTAATTTTACAAATTAATTTAACTACATTTGTCATGTTATATATTGTTTCTTGACTTTTCCATGTAAAGTTCACATTTTTTATATTTTCTCTTTAAAATTTAAAGTATATACCCATATGGGTCAACCTATCCTAACCCGCGCACGTAATAAATTTCCCGATCTGTCTCGGTCGTAATAAATTTCGACGAGTATGGATATTTGCCTCGGTCTGCCCATTACCATTCCATAACAACAGAGATCCTTCTTTTTGTTTAAGATGGAATCTGAATTGTAGATTTCATATTTAGTTTTACCTTTTTCAAGTTTCACTAAGATAATTGTAATATTTTTTATATTAAATAAAATATTAGTACATTAGTATTATCATAGCCACATAAGATAATGTAAACGTTATTTCACAAAAATATAGAATTACTGGCCAAGCTTATGGAAGTAGATGAAGATCATGGAATTAATTTTTGTAGTCAATGTGATTTGGAAACTGAGTTTTAAGATATATGTTGGATTATAATCTTTTCGATTGGACTAATCAAATAATTCATATCTTTTCTATTTCGGTTAGAATTAAATTAGTTGGAAGGACTTACCAAGCGAAAGATACCTGATTTAGAAACACAATAATTTGAGATGCAAGAATATCAATAGCATATAATTCATTGCTCATGATAATCAATAATAATTCTTTTACTCAAGACTTATACGTTAATAAATTATAAATACGAAAGTTGAAGTTGTGAAATCATCACAAAACAAACACTTTTAATTACATAGTCATCGGGCAAACCCGGCCATAAGGCCGGGCCCTATGCTAGTTTGTAAAGAAGGCATTTGGGAACGGCTAGGTTCAAAAGGGAAAAAAATAAGGCAACGGCTATATCTTGATTTGCAGTTATCTAGTCTCATTTCAAATTCAAACTCATCCATTCTGGTTCATTCCTCCCTCGACTCTCCGCCTAAGCGCCTCCCCCGGTTTCTTACGCGCGCCGCCTCCCTCCACAGCCAAAACCTATTCGCTGAGCTTCCTTACTCCCCCCGCAGCGGCTCCTAGCTCTGATCTTCTCGATTGAAGTTCCCGATAGTCGCTGGCTGTGAGCAATTGGAAGTTCAGACAACGCAACTCACTCATCTTTCGGTTCCGCGTCTGGCAGATAGCAGTTAGTAGCAGCGAAGAAATCCCTGAAGAATGGCTATGGAGGGTCAGAGTGGGACGAGCTTAGATCCAGAGACGCTGTTTCTCGCATCCAAACAAGAGACTGGGAACGAGTGGGAGCTCTTCAAAGAAAATGTCAAACCCTTGAAGAGAGGCCGCAACGTTTCGGTACTCAACCACGCTCTCAAATCCCAAACCAACAATCATCTCAAGGCCTCTCTTCTCCAAACCCGAAGGTTTTTGTTTGATCTTTTCATCGCCAATGCTTCTTTTTCTTTGGATTTGATGAGCAAAACCCTAACGGCCTCTTTTCCCCCCTTTCTCAGGAAATTGGTTGAGTCAATTGACGAGTATAAGGGCACCGACCCTCTTCTTCCTTGGCTCCAGTAAGTGAATCCCTGGAATCCGGATTAGCTAGCTTCACGGTCTTCTCCTTCCTTGAAATTCGCTAAAATTGACTTGAATTGCTGCTCCTGTGGTATTTAAGGTGCATTAGATGGGTCCAGGAAGTTTTCCCCGCTTGTGGTGATTCCTCAGGTCTCATACTGATATATGAGCAGTGCGTGCGCGCTTTCTGGGATTCCCCACGCTACAAGGACGATCTCCGCTACCTGAGGGTGTGGCTTCAATACGTGAGTTCCATGATCTGTTCCCAATTTTTGTTTTCATTTACTTCCTAGGAGAGAATTTTTGAGTCATTTGGTGACGTGTGGGATGGGATCATTTCAGGCTGAATACTGTGACGATGCTCAAATCATCTACAGCTTTCTTGACGACAATGGCATAGGGAAGTCGCATTCTGAGTTCTACATGGCATATGCTTTGCACCTGGAGTCCAAGAACAAGTTGAAATCTGCCAACGACATTTTCTCTCTTGGATTGTCTAGGTGAGTGAGCTATCCTTGTATTCCTGCTTCTTTTAATGTATTCGTTGATGGGATTTGCCTGTAATGTCATCTTGAATATCTTTTTTAAGGTTTACTGCATGGCTCATTGCGAATTGGATACCAAAGATGGTATGATTAGATAAGCAAGATTGTATCTTGCATTCATTACCAGCTCCATCTGCAATGTGCAATAGGAATGAATGTTGTAACTATTGAGCTGTGTTCCAAACAGATTCCTAAGACAAGGACAAGACATGCAACTGAAACCCTAGAAAGGAATTTGGCTGCAAGATTCACCCATGATAACTTGACAGTGACAATTATAGCGCAATGATATCTGCAATCTGTACAATCTTTGATAATGTGTTTGATTTATGTCTCTTAACGCTCATTCTTACTGCTTGGACTATTGGGTTAGTTCCAAAGGACCAATTTTGTTTTCAAATTATTCATGAATTACATTTTCCCAGTTTCTTGATTGGATAGCGGGGGAGCCATGCACTTGCTTCCTGCCCTTCTGTTTATCAGTGATATAAATTATATCTAACAGACATTGCTACTCATTACAGGGATGCGCAGCCTTTACATAAATTGAAGGATGCCTACAAGAAGTTCCTCATCAGATCAACAAATGGAAGCACGAATAAGGAGGTACGGTGATGGAACTTCTGTCTCCTGGTCGGTTTTAGGTCCTTTGCCTACCAAACTAGGAGGAAACGAAAGGCTTATTCGTAAATTACCCTTCTGCAGGAGGATAGTAGAGAAAGTGCATTAGCTGTGAGAAGCTTTGGGACTGTCCTTACTGGCTTGGAAAATAGTAAGCTTTTCTAGCTCATCTTGTTGTCTATCCAACTCTCCAAGCGCTAATGAAGCAATTTACACACTTCGCAGGAAGGAAACACGGGCCGAGTTCAGATCTTGCAGCTAGAGGGTTGAAGCCAGACAAGTAAGCATGATCTCTCTTGGGTGGTGGTTGTTCTGCTGTGTGCCCACCTCACCGTACCTTGAGCTTAGGGAGAGCTTAAGTGATTTTAGGGAGCATGCATTGATCAGAATTTGTGGAGTTTCGAGTGCTTTGTTATTTCTTTGGTATTGCCTTGTCCAGTTAGTACTAAAAAGCAGTTGTGATTCTTTATTTTCGCTTTATAGGGCTCAAAAGGCTTCTCCATTTGTTATCTATGAAGACTCCAATGGAGATGCAGCAGCGCATGTTGATGAACAACCAAAGAAAGACCCATGGCACAACCTTGGGCGCCGAGCTGAGAGGAACAAAGAAAATAATGCAATACCAACTAAGTGGTCGTTACACAAGGTTTGATTGAGCCTCACTCTCTGTGGAGAGGGCATCTCACTCATTCTCTTCTCCATATTAACCTTAACCTCAACCTCACATTTGTTAATAAACTGGATGATTTGCTTGCAGGTTCCGCAGAAACCTGCAACAACAAGTGCCGCCTCATCCGCCATTATCGAGGTGTTTGTGGACGAGGAGTGCAGCACCGAGTAAGAGTTTCCTACAAACTCAGAGGACTGGTTCTCTGTGTCTTGTGTTTTCAGTCCCCATTTCCGTTTTCCTTAACACGAATTCTGTTTCCAGGGCGGTCGGTTCCCACGAAGGGAATGGGAAGAAGGAGGCGAATTTCTTGCAGCTGAGGCAGGGGGACAGTCTAGACATAAAAAAGTAACACCCCATTACCAAGCCAGTATCTTTCATTCTTCGTATCCATTCTTATTCTTCTTGTTGAACTCATCTTCACCCCCCGCTTCAAATGTGCAGAGAAGCGGAGTTACTGCGGGAAAATCCGCTGCGCAATTTTCATGGCGGCAGCAACAGTCTTCCCAGATGATATGTGGTCATTCTGAAGCCACAGGGTTAACCTCGGCAAGTTGTTGTTTTGCTTGTTCAAGATGGATTGATTGCCAGAGAGAGACACCAGCACCTGTTCACCATGCTTGTTTGTGCTCATGTGATGCATCTCTTGTGCCTCCGGGAAGAGACTTGACACAGGGCTCACTATTAAACTTCCAGAATTGTTGTACGTTCACTATTTTTTAGCAATTGTTGTTAGTCAAGAGAAAACAGGGCTCACTATTAAACTTCCAATAAAAATTTGCGTTACATTTTGTTACGAGAGACAAAATTGGCAAATTCACCAACTTTCATACGATAATTCTAAATATACTATAATGAAAGAAAGACAATAACTAAACTAGTTTTTTACCCGGCCCGTTGGCCGGTGAGTTTTATTTTATCATTTACATTAATCAATTTATCTATATGTTTAAACTATTTTGGATCTTCTAAATTTTTTACATTTGCATTCATATGTGAGTATGCAGTGCGTCTATAAATTAAAAATTCTCAATACTTAGCACATTCACTTATGATGTTTCGATTCTCTGATCATAAATCATGTCACAAAGATATATCACGTCCCATATAGAATCTTATGTCAAGATTTGTCAACAACGATACTCAAATTTTTTTTTATCTTGTACAATATATGTCATTCAATGAATCTCGAGTTTGGACGAACTCTCAACCAATGATGTTGCTCAGATGATGACAACTTAGTTAGAATTTTTTATAAAGGTACTTCAATATTAGATAAATTTGGTCATCCCAATTGAAAGTTTACTATCTTAGTGTATGATCATATTTGTAAATCAAGACACTCAATTTAATATCTTATACAATATGTACCAATTGTTAATACCTAAAGTTTAATTTTGACTCACCCTCAACTCATGGTCGTTGTTTAGATGTTGGTTTAGAATCTCGGTCCAAGATACTCACACACTGGCGAGGGTTCTAATCTTAACATGGTCCATTAGTGTATAATTTTCTAACTTATCAAATATGCATTTGCTAAAATTAATTTTTCTTTGGTTTGTTTTGGGATAAAAATTCCATTACTTATACTAATATCTTCATTTTATTGGTGTAGTGCCACATCCCTAATCAATATCTAAGCATGATACTATACCCTAAATAAGAAAACGCTATCAGAATCACGAATTAACCGGATTTGTGAGCATGATACTATACCGTAACCCTTGATAAGTGAACCCGAGGTCTTAATTATCTAAATCATAGAGCTTAACCCCTAAGATTGTGCAGGTAATTTGTTGCATATATTTTGTCGAATCATGACCGTTGATTTTTGCTTATAAATAAACTGATCTTAGTGTATGAGATTTATAAATTTAAGACCTAGATTTTAATCTTTAAGGCTTTGAGAATAATACCATATGCCAAACTCTAGTCAATTCAAGGTCTATATATCGTTTTCTTACTCAAGGTATGTCATAATATACATATATAAATATAAAGAGTTTAATATATTTTTAAGTGTAATTAACACCTTTGTTTGACCAAAATATGTAACTGTTAAGAAAAATAAGGGGAAATATGAACAAATGTAAGAGAAAATAAGGTATGGAAACATGCATTATAAGATAGAAGAAAAGTTGTCTTTCTTTATCGCCTTCATTTGTACAATCAGGTACTACATTATGGCTTCTTCATGTATCTATTAAAATGAAAAAAACAAATTTTGAAGTATTTTTCTATTAATACTTGTTTTTGTTGATAGATACAAATATTAGAAAAAGATAGTGTTTGATAACCAAAACATAAAATTATATAGTTGGTTTTTCAAATTCAATTGATTATTAAATGTTGATTATCTAAATTTCACTATATTAAGTTCTAATAAAAATAAAAATTAATTGATCATATTTAATCAAATATATATATATTTTTTAAAATTATAATATATGTCACTCTCCAAACGTAAGTATACTACTGCTACGCATATATATTGCAAAAAACTTATTGAATAAAAAAAGAAAACATTAAAAGAAGATAGAGATAGCTACATAAATGATCATTAAACTTAAAGAAAAATATTAAAAGAAGATAGATATAACTACACTAATTGATCATTAATTAACTTTTTTGTTTATAAAAAAAGTGTCCACCATGGCACCTTGTAAATTCTCCAAATGCTTATGTGGCAACAAACCACTTTTGAATTGCCATAATATTATGTATAGATTATTAGGGTTTCCATATTCTTATTCATTAAATTGAAGAACAAGTACATGTTTATAAGCAAGGCCGGCCAAAACAGTGTGCCGGAAAGCCTTCTAGCACATGACTAATTGGTTATGAGTATGATGATGAGTTTAATTATATTAATTAGGGTAATGTCTATTTTTTATCTAAATCCTTTTCAGATTCTTTGTATAATCCAAATTTATTAAAGTGCTATTAATTAGCCAAATTTTTCGTAATGCATCAAAATATTAGCCATTTTTACGTTATCGTTAATAATATGTAACTTTTTTATTAGTTAAAATACTAAAATTTTGCAATTTTGACCTTCATGTGTCTCTTCCAAGTCAATATCATGTTGTCAAGTCAATATTACTAACAAAATTGCTAACTGAAAGTTAATATTTGGCTAATTCTTAGTATTTTGATATGTTTCGATAATATAAAAGAATCTGAAAAAGGTTTGGATAAAAAATAGACATTACCCTATTAATTAATATTCTCATGTATATACTTTTTGATTGAAAATCTGATTTATATTAAAAAATAATACAAAAAATATTAATAGAATAGCTATGATAAAAATTGACAATGATCTCAAGGAGTATACGAAAAATTGAAAAAATAATTAATTTTACTTTAAATAATTATGAGAAGATATTATATTTCAAATATTGATGATATATAATTATTTTAATTTTACTAACTTGAAAATCAATTTGAACAACATCTAAATTTTGAAACAAGGCCTCCACTATCCATTGGATGACCATGTTCATAGTCACAAAAAAACCCTAAAATCCTTCTCCTTCCCACCATTGGTTTGACCACTAGGGGTGGGCATTCGGTCGGTTCAGTTTCGACCGAACCAAAATTATGAATATCGAGTCCCCGAATTCTCCCAAACCTCAAACCGAATTCGAAACGAAATATAATTCGGTTCGGTCGGTTTAAACCGAATTATAATTTGGTTCGGTTTTTCACACAAAACCGAATTTGTGAAGTTACTTGTATTTTCTCACTTTTAAATTATTTTTCACCTCTAATATAAACAATAAATATCAATTATATGCATCATCAATGATAAAATCAAACTTTTCAGCATATAAGTCATAAAATATTTCAAATATTTAAGTCTAAAAACAACTACAAACATAAAAATCACCATTTGGAGCTTGCAATTATAGTATTTCTGTTTTTCGGTCGGAAATTCGGTTCGGTTGAAAGAACCCTGATTTCCGAACTATCCATATTTTCCTTCCGAATTTCGAACCGAATAGCATTAATTCGGTTTCGGTTCGGGTTTACCGAACCATTTGCCCACCCCTATTAACCACCACACTCCTTTTCCTACCCAAATTATGACAACTTTTCTGACAAGGACATTAGAAACAAATCCTAAACAACCACCAAAAGATAATCCAAATCTTACTAAAACTAGTAAACAATATTAATATCCCAAATAACAACTAAATACGAACTAATTAATAAAACTAGTAAAAATAAATGAGCCCAGAAATTGCCCGAGTTATTATGATAACTCGTCTCATAAAAATCCTACCCCCATTAAGTGCAACATTGCCCTCAAAGTTAGTCATCCTAATAGATGAAGCAATTGTCCTCTTCATCCTTATAGTTTACACGACCTCACATTGAGAAGGACATTGAGATTGATGCAACAATGCCTAATGGTGAAGCGCACTTCGTAGTGGAAGCATAGTCCTTATGATCTTCGTCGAGCGACCTCCTCTTGCGACATCCTTCGACTGATGGGATTGAGTGGTGATGTAGCCCTTGGCATAGTAGAAGCGGAGTCAGACCATCTCTCTACTTGTCCTCGCGGCGAATTTCTTGGTCCTCCATGATGCTTAGCCAGCTCCTCGTTCTTTACCTTGGCAAGTCAAATTGCCTTTTGTATCGTCTCTTGCTTAAACATTCGTATGGCGTCAGAAATTTCTGGTTAGAGCCCACCAAAGCTTCCTCGGTCGACTCATAACACCGGTTACTCGATTTCTCGTAAGCTAGAAAATAATCGCTCAAAGATCTGGTCTATTTATTTTCACGAGAGCCTCATGGCAAGAAGCTCCATCAGACGGCCCGAATCGAGCCCATAACTCCAGTTGTGCCATCTAGGGTTAGAACAGTCTGATCTGGTCGTAGACGTACATGATAAGAACCGCTACCCGTCGGGGCCCTGCCTCTGACATACTCACCTCGGTCCGCGGCCCCGTTCCCCAGGCCGCCTCCTGGTTCACACGGAAATTCGTGTCCTTCATCAACGCCCATTGGTGACCGACCCCCGGGTCCCATGCTAGGCCCATCCCAACAATCTCCCACGTCCCGAGTCGCGCCATTTGACCCACCGCTTCCAGTCCCAATCCACGCGGCACCACCTTGCCATTCTGTGCTGCTTGCGTCAGCCCACTCCAGTTGTTCCATCTAGGGGGGGGGGGGGTGCTTGCACCCTCCTTGGGCAGGGGCAAAAAATTAGCTGGTAGGTTGGTTATGACTTACGAGGCAGGCATCACCCTTGTCCTCTTAATTAGTGAGGCAAAAAATAGGACGCTTAGCTACTTACACGATATGTATATGTATCAATTTGAATCCCAAAAGCAATCATCCACTGAGATTGCAGCTTAGCTAGCACGATATGTATATGTATCAAGAAAGATAGTAATCGTTAACACATATGAAATTTTAGTCCTTATACACGTGCCCCTTAACTTAGAACAACGATTTGTCCTTAAAATGAAATTTGTGGTCATTAGTTGAATTCCTATGACCTACCTTTCGATGACAGGTTCAAAAACTTACAAGGAATTAATGAGTTAGAAAAAAAAAATGGTCGAAGCAAAGAAGCACAAATTCTATTTATACGTTTATTTGCTTCTTATGTTGACACTCATTCTTTCAGTTGGAACAACAAATGTGGACCGATCGTTTTCATCCTTGAAATATATAAAAAATGATCTTCGAAATCAGATGAACGATGAGTGGTTGAACGATGAGTGGTTGAACGATGCAATGGTGGCATATATTGAACAAGATTTATTTGCTAGTTTGGATAAAGAATGTGTCCTAGAATACTTTTAAAATATGAAATATGGTCGCGGATCGTTGTAACCAATGTA